AAGAGCAGGGAAGCAGGAAGAAAAGGTGGTGAGAAGAGATGCAGGTTGGTATAAAAGTAAATGGGAGGCAGGGTAGAAAGGGAGTGTAATGTGGGGGAGGTTCCAAGCCACATGTACTTGTGATATATGGGAGAACTGGGCTGGGGATTGGGAGGAAAGGGATTAATGGCTCTCCTACTTTAGTGCCAGGGCACTGCAACACATTCAAAGGTAACAGCCCAATGGGGAGATCTTGTTTTGTCAATGGTTATACACCAATACCACAGCATGCAAGAGACCTTACAATCCCATGGTCTCTGAGAAGTCCTTATGGTGATGGACACACATAACATGTAGAATGGTTTAAATGCAGCATGCCTCTTCAGTCCCTAGGAATCAAAAACTGTGGGACAAAGCACTTCTACCTACCTACCAAGGCAGACAATACACTTCAGACTTTAGTCATTTCTAGGCTATTTAGTTTATTGATCTCATGTTTAGGAAAGAATAGAAAGCAGAAAAGTGAAGACTCCCCAAGCCACAGGTCACTTACACCCTGCAGCCCTCCCCCTGCCAAGTAAAGTATGCAAGCACTACCCGCTATTTCCAATTTGCCTAGTGCACGGCATGCTGGGCTGGGTGTTCACTCCCATCCCCTAGTGTCAGAGCCACAGCACATCACACAACTGTGAACCTGTTCCTAATCAGTGACATTTTGGAATGGCTCAGTTGTTATGTATATCTGCACTTTGTGTGTTGGTCATCTCTTAGCTGCCTACAGAAAAATTCTCCTCTCTTTTCTTCTATTGCATGTCCCTCTTGCCTTCCTATATCTTATGTTACTTCCTCCAGTGTCTTTCTTGTTCAGTACTGATCATTTGATTCTCTTTTCAAGACCCTCCACTAGCATCTCTCCACCTTACCACATTCTAGCTCTTCTTCCTCACTTTCAAGGCCCTGCATAACTGTATCTTATTCCTATACCTCTGCTCCCATTTCCTACTATTCACCACACTTCTCAAAATCTACCTTTCTAAATCCCTATTGAATCTTTCTCCCACTCTTTCTTCACACTTTGTTTCATTACACCAAATATAGTGGCAATTGCTTCCTTCTGCCCTTGTTCCACTAGCCTCATTAAAAGTTTCAGTAACACTTGGAAATTGGAACATTTTCTGATGTATTGCATGGGGGTTGGTCTCTGTCTATTTTAGAATCTGAGCTCATTGGTCTCATGTCTTCACCTCTGTTTAGTATAGGGCTGCGCATACTGTTGGTTCTCAGTTTATAACAACCCTGAATTTTCTCCTCTTGTTCCATTCCAGCTGCAGAGTTGTAAGAATGATACCGCTATAAACATGCTAAGTATCAGTTATGTCTCCCACTCACTTTCAAAAAAAGAAGCTTACACTGTCCAGGAAGGCTGGACTGCCAGGATGAAGCCTCCTATTAAATGGACTTAGCTGTTGTGAAAAAGATATCTTATGCTTGTCAAAGAAGTACACGGATAAAGAAATAAGAGTACTGTGTTGACAGTAGCTTGCCTTCACATCATTTTCCCATTCCTTGCTTAACATGCTGTTACTGAACTGAATTGATTGTATGAAATTTAGTCATAATAAAATGATGAAAGTAGCCATTGTAGATCTCTATTCAAAGTTTCATATCTTGAATAGTGGGCTGATTCAGCTTCTCTGCCTTTCTATATCTTTGACAGATACATGTCTTATATCATCTTTTTTTCTCCCCTGGCTGAGTATGCCTTACTTACTGCTTTTCCTCTCTCTAACTTATCTTTAAATGATGTGCTATTAATCAACTGAAGACACCCTTCACTATTAAGTGTTCCTCAACTGATTTTTCTTTAGCACAAGCAGTTACTGGTTACAGGATTCCTCCCACATGGTGAAGCAGGGAGGAGGCAGTAAAGACTGTCTAGCCACATAAATACTATCTGGTATGTTTATACCCACCTGCCAGTTTGCTGCAATGACTATACTGTTGCTTGTTCTTAGCTCAGTATATGGTGGGAGGGATGCTGAGCAATGCCTTGCATTTTTTTAAAGCTATTGCTTTTCATGTTCCTCCCTTCTTCTGATTAACCTGGCTCAATGCCTGTTCAGTAGCAACAATATTTTAATACCTGAAACAATATGTATACACTTTCCCAGCAAGTCATGCTTATCCATTCTCATGTTGTCATATTTTTCTATGCTTTATCTCATTTTACATGCAAACTTTCAGAATCAGAGTACAGGGCTGAGGTGAAAGAACGGAGAGAGAAAGAGAGGGAGAGAGAAGAGAGAGGAAAATAACACCCCAACAAGAATTTCAGCTGTTGTGAACACACCCAGTCTCCACAATGCAACAAAATGTGCGTGGGCACAGGTGGGTCCCAGTTTCTTTTGCTGGAGCAGAGCCCAAATCCAGAGTCTGAATGTCGACTTTCACTGCTGTTTGCTATTTTTATTGGACTGAGGCCATTGCAAACATTTGCAGGTGGTTTGGCCATATTCTGACACTTAAATACTTGTGGTTGTGATAAAAATCAGAATATTGCTACAAGATGGGTCTTCAGGGCTTGTTCCTAATCCCCCTAAAGTCAAAGAGAATTTTATCCAGTTGCTATCTCTAATTCCTAGTGTTCATTAAGAGGCACATTCTTAAGGGGCACTTCATCTTTTCAGTAAATATTCACTTCTGCTTGAGGGCGTGAGAAAACAAAATCCTTTTCCTAATGTTTTACACACATTTGGGCTCAAACAGAACACTCAGATCCAAACAAAATCTGAACCAGGATTTGATCTCAATTTTTAAATAGCCAAACCAAAACCACCAACCTTCAGGGTGTTTGTAAGCAGGTTCTGAATGTACTGGTTATTAACAGTCTCCGAGTTTATGATAATTTGCCTAATACTGAATCCAGTGCTGTGTCTGTGTTCCTCCTGAATGATTCTTGGTTATCATCCGACGTTTAGAAGGGTACAATTAAGTGGAAATGACAAAATATGTTCTTTGATAAATGCTGCAAACATCACAGGGAAAAGTCTATGAAAAAAAAAGAGTACTCAAAAGTCTGGCAAGAAGCTGAAGTCCAAAATATAGCAATTTTCTCCTTGAAAAACAAAACCTCCTTGGATGAGGGAAGAATGGAGGAAAAAGTGTGCTGGAGGTCATATCACTCACCTCATTCACATACAGAGAGCAAAGCTGCTGACAATTATTTCCTAGTAGAGTAGCTCTAGACAGCATACCTATTAATTAATCACATAACAGAATTTAGATATATGTTATGAAATAAGTTCCCATTGCAGACACTAGTGATTGACCAAACACTTTTCTCCTAAGTCTTCAGACATTTCTCATCTTGACTGAATGGAGCCTAACTCCAAGTCACTGAAGGCCCAAACCAAATGTACACATATATTTCGTTTTGGGCCTTCAGACTAGATAGATAGATAGATACACACATACACATACATGTATATATATGTGTGTGTGTGTGTGTGTACACACACACATATTATATTCTATTATATTATTAATTAAATATCTATTAATTAATACTAGTTTATCTTTATTCATTAATGTAATTTATTTCTGTTAAGTATTTCACTTAAAACAAAAAAAAGTTGGTTTACCACCTGCAAACATCTCATGCACACACAGACAGACAGACAGACAGACAGACAGACAGACAGACAGACAGACAGACATAGGAGATGTTAGCAGGTGGTAAACCAACTTTTGTTTTAAGAAGTGAAACACTTAACAGAAATGAATGTCATTAATGAATAAAGATACAATAATATTACTTAACATATATATTCATATATATATATATATATATATAAATTAGTAAGAATCCAGTGTATTAATAGATATAACTAAGATAGAGATAGATCTAACTTAGTTAATTAGTTAGTTATAGCTATAGCTATATACTTTATTTAGTTAGTCTATAATGGTGCATTCTGACTGACTTTAGACCAACATCACCAGCTACTTGTCAAAACCAAACTGACAGCACTCTACAAAACCACATATAATACTAGTTATATTACTGACATAACTGTTTGAAACCTGAATAAAGTCCAGTAAGATACACCTGATCCATGTACTAAATGCTTTTTTTCAAACTGGAATCATAATTGCCCCAGACAAGTTATATTAGAAACTGAATGGATAACTTTAGTTAATTAACGCAATTTATTTCTGTTAAGTATTTCACTTCTTAAAACAAAAAAGTTGGTTCACCATCTGCAAACATCCCCATTGAGAGACTTGATCTTTGAAAACCTGCAGGCTATTTAGTTAATGGGACATGCACAAGGAGTTATATTACTTATATTCAGAGCTAGGGAAGATACAGGTAAAAAGGCATTTCAATCCGGTAACAGAAAAATATTGCACACAGTGGGCACTACCAGTTACCAATAATTAATAATAGCAGCAGCACTTTCATTCTGAGTAACATTCAGTAGTCAATATTTTTAGAGTTGTGTATACTACATGCATAGTTAATCATATATGTGTGTGTGTAAATATAAAATACACACACACAGTTATTGTATCTGAAAATAAAGACCAGTAATTGTCTACATATATATGTATATGTTTAATGACTACTAGTCTTTATGTTTAAATACTGTAACCATGTGCAGTTATAATAATTGTATGCATAAAGTATATACATTTTTGTGCCTGCTGTTATGAAAATGTAGGCATATATACAACTCATGCAAACCAAATAAATGTTGGTGGTATGAGAACATAAGAGGTGAAAGGACTTATATGGCATAGTTATAAATAACATAAGTATGAATAACTATAAATACTAAGTGGGCATTGTAAATTGGACACCTTTTCACAGAAGTTTTTGATACAAAAAACCTGTTTACCTTGATATTCCCAAGACTGTCTTTACACTTTGTTTGGCAGCCCTTGACTAACACAGAACTTAAAAAACAGAAGGTTTAATCTTGCAATGTGTTGAATGCTCCTGCCAATGACTGAACACCAATGCCCAATGAATGAAATATGATAACAGTACTTTAAAGATCAAGACAATCAGTACTTTAAAGATCAGGCCCAGAAATGTCATCTCTCTCCCTTCGCAACAAAATTTTAATAACAGCTTTAAACTTCGATTTTAAGAACACAAAACTAGATCACATGAAGCACAGCAGAACTTTCATCCAAGTACATCCATTCAGCATTCCATAACAAACAACACAGACAAGTCATATGATTGTGGTTGCCTTTTCACCACAGGCTGTGCATCACATATTATGGGAGATTCTCCAGCATAGTAATGGATTCCAGGTAAGTTTAGTCATACTTCTTGAAAATCCAGAACATAACATCGTGGCCTATTCCATAACCACCAGGGTGGAAGGCAAGAAAAAAATAGAGCACTTAGACTTACCCAATCTGTCGATTTGTGGAAGGTGCTTGTGTTATGACTGAACTGGACTGTGGAGATGGCATGGCTTGTTGAATCACAACGCTGGTGTCATGGTTTGGCATCCTAGTATTCGTGAGCTGGTGGGTTCCAGGCCCTGCCATTGCTCCTCCAACTGTGTTATGCATTGAGATATTCTGTGAGAAGGGGAAAAGGAATGGAGGGGAAAAAATAAAACTATAGTTTCTTCTCATGTTTTGTACAACTAAAAGTAGAAAGCTGGAAGAAGTGTCAACAAAATGAAAAGTTATTCGCTCCTGGCAAACCTCAATAGATCTTGCAACTATAAAGAATGAAAAATAACTATTTACTTTTACAGAACAATACAAATGGAAAATACCTGGAAGTTGGCTAATCACTCTTCTGCAGTTCTGACTTGTGATTTATAATGGGGACATTTAGCACATTTTTCTGACTGACTCCGATACCTATTTCATTTGAAAATGATTTTTGTGATAAAGACATGACATTTTGATTTGCTATTCTGGTTGTTTACTGAGTACTAGACCTGCTTGGAATGAATTAAGTGTCATGGTCTCAAAGTAGTAAACAATACATGGTATTCTATCATCACAGCCATTTCTTCTAGACTCAGTAGGTAACTTAGAGCAATATTGTCCGAGAGCCCACTGAAGATGGAAATTACGTATAATTTTGAATACATTTCTATCATTAGTATGTGGCTTGTTTTACAAAAGAAAATGTAGTACTGAAAAATCCTATTATTTCTCTCTTCTCCCACCTGCAATCTATGAATATCATATATATCTTCAATAGTCATGACAACGCTCACATTTCTAACAAAATTTTAATTCATGAACCAATTTCCAGTAGCAAACATCAAAATAGCTAAAACCAACAATATTCACCTTGTTTTACAATCATATTAAGCCAAATTGACTATAAAGTTATAGTAGAAGGATAGTAATATTTGAATGGTGGTTCAATATGATGGGATACCACTACTAGCTTACTTGTTTCCAAGTACTTTAGAGAAACAAGGGAGTATAGGAGCCACAGAAGTAGTAACGGTTCTCCACACAGGTTGAGGCATCTCTCACTTTCTTCTACTGACAGCAGATTCTCTGTCTGCACATACTTCCCTTCCAGAAGCAATTACTTGGATAAGGTTGCATCAGAAATTCCCATGCAGACCTTTCTGAGATTCAGAAAACCGCTGCTCATTTGTGCTCCTGGCCGGAATAGTTTTCTCCCAAGGGTCACAAAACACTGAACCAGATAGACTTCGCTAAGCTCCTGGTGGGTAAGGCATGCGACAGAGATTCTATTCCCTCTTCCACGCTTCCTTTTACTTCTGTCCACACCACCAATGTAGGGTATTGGGCTGAATATTTTGGATACCCAGAACATACAAAGGACACAAGAGCAACAAGTCAAAGCATAATAGTCGCACATTAGAAAGAGACAGGCACTGATTGTAACCTTTGCTGACATCAGTTGTACTCTGCAGAGGCATAGCACAGTACAGGACTAGGGGCAGAAGTGTTTCCATTTTCTTCTTCTCCTTCCCTATAATTTCATGCCTCCCTAAGCTATAAATGGTTTGTTGTTATGAGACTGACAAGTCTTGGTTGTACATTATAATTGTAATTTTTACTTTACATGCACACACTTGTAACTCTTACAATTATAACCATTTAGAATAGACACTTTATATTTTCAGTGACTCAACAGTAGACTGAAAGCAAGAGAGATGGAAAACTGAAATAACTATTAATACAGCCAACTATGAATTAAAATAAATAATTGAAATAATTATTGGCACATTGATAATTCCTGTGACTAATGTAAGAGATGTTTTCAGGTGCGAGTTACGATAAGACACCAAGCTGCAGAAAGCAAGTCTGACATTCCCCAATGAAATGTCAAACTTGGCCTGACTTTTATATTTACAAGAAGAGAGTTTTGCAAACTAAGGGTTATTTTCATTGGAATTATGCTTATGAATTTACAGAGAAATTCAAATGTATTCATATCCAAGTTGAGCTCTGAACTGGATCCAAAAAACTGAAATGCCCCCCTACATGAAAAAAAATTGAAAAGCTTGATTTGAATTCCAAACACTAATATCAAGGATTGCAGGCACTACTAGTAAGGAAAAAAAAACTGACTAAAGCAGATAAACCCAATATTAATGACTGAATCATTAGTTTGGGATTTGTGTTGCTTCCTATTCATGTTTGCTTTTAAGGAGTTTTGCATGCTTCTCAGTGAGGAGAGCCTGGAGATCACCTCACTTTTTTCCTTCTCCATCTCTCACTCTCATCAAGATCCTGACTGGGATAAAACTGACACAGGAGGGAGCTCTCATCACACCAGCCAAAGGATGAGGAGCTGAAGGGACTGCCAATTAACTAGGTTAAGGGATAACTCTCCCACTGCTTTTAGCAGAGGACAGAAATCTGTCATAATAGCTGGTCTTGTGTCACAGTTACTCTTCCATTATTCCTGACCATCCCAGAGCAGACATTTTTAGCTATATTATTATAAATCAGTTAGCACAGTGGTGCATCCTATGGCTTGCAGAAACTTGTCATGGGTCTCCTCATGGGTCTGGAAATTTGGCACTGGGGAGTGATGGCAGTGTAAATTGCTGTTCCCCTGCCAAGTTTCTAGATTCTCCCCCTGTGGGGAGCCCCATGGGCTGGATGATGTGGTCCTGTGAGCTAGCTGTTTCAGTGTGTGGTTGGACTGGCATGCAGGTTGGTCCAATGCATAGTTGGATCCAGGTAAATGGGATAATATTCCCAGATCTGACCTGAGGAACAGCCCTGCATATGGGTTCTAGCCAATGGACTCATCCACCTCCAGGGACTCATCTAGCCCACAAGGCCAGATAGGTTGAGCACCATTGTTTTTGCATATTTGGACCCAAAGGTTACCATCAGGGATGGGGTCCCACTGTCCCAAGCACTATTGAAACACAAAGAAACAGTTTTTGCTCTAAAGAACTGTGTTTAGGGATTTCAGGTCTTCAGCAGCTAAATCAAGTGCCTCAGTCTCACTGACCCAGGAAAATATACTTCCAGCCTAAAACTTTCCCTCTGCAAAATGGAGTTTTATTTTTTACCTAGGAGAATTTCTACAATCTTTGATTTCTTCTCAGCCTGAAGAAGGATGTGTGCGCCCAAAAGCTTGCAAAGAAATAATTTTTTAAATTTTTTTAGCTGGCCTAATAAAAGGTATCACATCCGAACCAAGACTTTTAAAGGTTTGTGTTTCACTCAGCCTCACTGAAAAAGAGAAAGACTAGGACTGGGAATTGAGGAAATCAGGTCCTAATTTTTTTGTTAGATGGCACTGAAGGGTATTTGTGGCATGCCCATAGACCTAGCGTACTTCACTGTGTTTTTAATAATAATCTTTAAGCAAACACCAGATATAAAAGGAGATACAGTGTTTTTAAAGCTAATGTTTTTTAAACCTGATCCCAAGAAGAGGATAATGTATTCTGAACTCAGATTCCCTTGGGAGTACAATATTTACATTATCTTCTACTTCCTAACTTTTTGCAAAAGTCAGTCTTCAAGAGGACACTTGTACCTTTTCCTCGTATGACCAATGGCTTGAAAGTACCACTTTCTTTTAGAGGCAGAAGCCTATTGGGGTTTATCTTTTATGGTCTAGCAAACAGGTACATATATTGTGTCCAAAACAATACTAGCTGTTATCCTACTGCCAAGCATAGGAGAAAACAAACAAACAAAAAAATTAAAAAGAAACCAAAAATCCCTTTGGTTCAATAATCTTTTTCCCTCCTGGTCTTCTCCATGTCTTTGAATACTACTGCTCATCTACAGAGGGATCGCCTTGCTGTCTATCATAGGAAAGATCATTGCAAGAACCCCTGTGAACTGCTTGCTTCCACTTGCTGAAGAGCTCAGTGTAGGTTTAAGACATCAAGAGGTACAACTGAGATGATCTTCACAGCTTACCAGCTGCAGGAAAAATACTGGGAACAATATAAACCTCTCTGTGTGGCTTTCTTTGACCTCACACAAGCCTTCTACTGTCACCAAGCAATGTTGCAGATGCCCAGTGAAATTTGTCACATTCTTTGCTTCTTCCATGACAGTATGTGAGTGCTGGTTCTCAGTAACAGATCTATCACAGATCCCTTTGAGGTTAAGATGGGAGTTAAAGCAAGGCTGCATCATTGCTTCAACACTCTTCTCGATACTCATCATTATTCTTACCCAGAGCCAGTGGAGAAACTACCCCTCTGTCTAAACAAAAAAGGTGCATTGAGCTATTTTAGAAAAAGACCTACTAGTGAGAAATTGTTTTACTCTAGAGGAAATATGGACATGAAACTCTTGTAAAAATCTGCCTTTTATTACTGTTACTAGCCAATTGCCTGTCAAGAATGATGTGGGGGGAGCAGGCAGGAACAGAGGCCTGCGTCCCTCTTCCCTCTCCCCACCTCCGCCTTGGGTCAGGGCTGGGGCCATTCCCCCTCTCCCCCGACACCGCTTTGAGCCATAAGCCCCCATCCCCTTCCTGCTGCCCTCCCTCCCCTGTGTAGGGCACTGCCAAGACAGCCAGTCAGAGCACGAATAAAGCATTACAGACAGACAGACAGACTTGGGCTTTTATAATATTAGAATTATGAATACATGCAACTGATGTTGCATACTGCCTTCTATGACATTATCCAGCAGCACTGTGAAATGCAATGGACAATCTGAATGAAGAAAAAAACAAAGGTCAGTTGAGAAGTCTGTTGATAATACTGAATGATCTTTCAAAATGAAAGCTAAGACCCGACCATACTTTATTACAGTTAATGGGTAAGGTTCTATGTCACACCTCTACAGTCTTTCAAATGTTACCCCTGTCACACTGTATGTGCTGTTTTACTGCAACAAAAAGCAAGTGTTCACACCTGCATGCTATTTGCCTCACCATAAAAATAGCTGCAGTGATCTGTTCACCCTGTTTTCTTCCAAGGGACCATGGGTGTTAGGACCATGGGATTTGAACCTGATGATGCTGGGCCAGCTGTGCCAATAGCGATGCTGGCCCAGCCACCCTGGGTTTGAATTTCCATGGTCCTAGCAGATTGTGGGCAGAAAGAATGGCTGGCTTTCTGATACCTGGCCCAGCTAGTGAGCCA